TTATGCTTTTGTCGACACTTAGACCGATTTGACATTTCTCCCTTCCTCCCCTCTAGGTGCCACCTCCGCCTTCTCTCTTTCTTCTACCTTAATTGTATCCTCCTCTTCTGCTTTCCTCTTCTGCTATGCGCTGCCTTCTAGTTACTCTATCTCCTAATCTACCTCGTTTACCTTTCCCTCGTTCTCCTCTGTCTTACCTCCCCATCATCTACATTGCCTCCCTCTCTACCCACCCCCGCAGGCCTCTCTCCCGGGGGGGGGGGAGGGACACTCCCATTCCATTGTTAAAGGTACTGTGGACGTGCCGCTGGACAGGGTATATTTTCCGAGCATCATTATTGGCACAGGGTTATCTAGATACACACCCATCAAGCTAATATTGGACCAATATTGGCAAAACAATATTGGGCCAATATCACCAAGCCGATATTGGACCAATATCTGCCTATATTGACAGGACAGGACAAAACCGAATTGTGCAATATTGCAACAAGGTATACTTTTTAGTGCAGTATATTGAGACAGGGTCAGGTTTTCAAGGTTCCGGAGGCACCTCCCTACCCAGTTCCGAGGCGAGTGCCCCCCTTTTGCCTCTCTACCTCCTCTGCCTTCGACTCCTTCTCTATCTTTACCCTACCCTACCTTGCGCTTTCCCAAACTACTCATATGTTTGCATAGAATCAAGCAACACTGATTTTAGCATTACCTGTTTTCGAATTTTCGTGTACACGCCTGATGAAAATACAGAATACTTAATTACTGGGGTTCGCAGTCTACACTATGGTGGCCCGAACAGCCAGTAAATTTTTCACTGAAGCCGGGGGCAATGATTATTAATAGCTCTCGTTTTCCCGCAGACAGTCCAGAATGTGATAGCTGTGGGCTATGAATCCTATGAGAGCCATCTCGGCCGGCGTCGGTCACGCTGCTACCCACAATCCTCATCGCAGGCTAGCCTCGTGATTACTGTTTCGTACTTCACGCTGATTCTAACCTGTATAATACAGTCGTTATGTTCCGCACGGCTACTCTAACGACTCTGGTGAGTAGGCCCTCTAGCGGCCGTTACGATCAGGAGCGGTAATCATTAACGTTACGCTAATTCGTGACTTTCGTTGATGAAGGCCCTATCGGGAGACTAAACATTGTTTACTAAAATCTTAAACGGAACTACCTAGGGCAATCGTTTTTTTTGGATTTAAGCCTTATATTCGTCATTTTTTAAATGCTTCGCCGTGATTCGCGATTTACGACGATAAATGTTTACCGGCACCAATTGATTATACTTTATATTATTGTCATACTATTTATGATATACATATTATAATGTTATAATTTATGATGTTGTTATAATATTCAATTTTTGCTGTTTATGTATGAATCGGGAGAACAAACCTTGTTTACAAAAAACTCATGTAGAACTTATTATAAACAAGCCTAATTATTAAATATTTGTCGTCACGTCACACATTTTGGATCCTTTCTTAACCACGTGGCCCTTTATTAAACATTTTCTGCGACATTCCATCCCTTTATCAAATGGAACACTTAATTAACAGTAGGAATGTAAGTTTATAGCCACATGTTTTCTAAAGTAGATTACGAAGTGGAAACTTCGTGAATACGAGGCGGAATGGTGGAATAATATTATCCTATCACGGCTGGGGCCACGTTCGCATACGAGCTAGGTGTTGTGACGCACCAGCTATGCAGTCTACATACTAATTGTGGCTTGTCCTTGATCTCGTCTTTTACCGCCATGTTTAACCATTCTGTGAACCTCTGACACTAGGAACTAGTAATATATATATATATTGTGAGTGTGAGTGATATACTATATGTACTATATGTACTAGTGATATATATATATATATATATATATATATCAGGGTTAATAATGACATTTTTGTCATTATTAAATTCGAATATATATATATATATCTTACTAGTTCCTAGTCAAGGACAAATCAATATATTATAGTCTGCTAGCGTTATTCACTCATTTACCCCGAGGGATTGGCATTGGCCTTGGAACAGGTGATTTTATACGGTGCATCTGAGCGTCTGCGCTCTAAGGAGGGGGGAACGGGGGGGGGGTCATTCCCACTTTCCCAGCAAAAACACCCCATATCCCAGTTCCCAG